CGTAAGGTGTAGGTAAGTCGTGCCTCGCGTAGGCCCTATCATGTCGTAGGGACTCGCGAGAGGTATGGCTGGCGCACTCGGCCGGAGCGGCCTAAGGAAGCTCCGCATGTATTATTTGCGACGAAGGATTTAAACCAACTCCTGCGTGACGCGGCCGGGAGGGTCCCGCGCTGCCCTGGTGCGGTGCCGGACCGATGCGCGTGACAGGTGGCGCCGTTGCCGGGGATAACGGAAAACCTACCGTTGTCCCTAGTGGAACGACATCTGGTTATGAGAAGTGAGTGAGAAAAGGCATAAAGGAAGGACGAGAAAGTGAGAAAAGATAATGAATGACTAAGTATAGGTGAGGAAATTTACCTACCTGAGTAAGGGAAGGTATGAAGGACGAACGTGTAGCATTGGGTAAAGGTACGTAGTAAGAGTTAGGTAGAACGGATGGAATAGACGGGTCAAGGTGCGATGCTGAATAAAAGAGGTATGCTTGTTTTTTCTTTCTTATCAAGGAACTTGAAGAGAAAAGTCTGCCAAGATGTCGCAGGGCGGCGGCGCATCGGGTGATCCCAAGAAGGGTCTGACGCTCGATGACCTCTTCGTGGCCATTGACCGGCATGAAAGGAACCCGAGCAATATCCCTAAAGTCGATACCTTCCATTTTTGTGGGGAGAGAGTCTCAGAGTGGCTGGAGCGGGTGGAACAAGCTTTGGTTTGGCGGTCAAACGTTGTAAAGTTCCAACGCATTCTTCAGTAGGGCCTCCACAGCTACCACCAGGAAGTGAAGAAAGTCATAGATGTGGCCTAAGGTAGCTGGGAGAGGTTCAAGGAGGGGATGCAGAGGAAATACCGTCTGGGAGACGGGTTGTTGACTTCCGCGGACCTTGAGGCAATGAACAAAGAGGATTTTACGACCATAGGGGCCTTTGTTCAAGAATTTAAGAAGAGGGCGCGGAAGGTCCATGAGATTTCGGAGGAAGCGCAGTGCGCCATCTTCCGGGGGCTACTCATGGCATCGGAGGCCGTCAAGTTGACGAGACATGGAGGAGGTAGCACCAAGCTCACCTGGGCCACCATTGACAGAGGGGTGGAAGTTGGGTGTTTGGACCAGGTGGAGCAACGTCAGGTACGCCTGCAAAGGCAGAAGAGAAAGGAAAGAGATGCGACCACTTCTGGGACCCCGGAGGGTAAAAAGGATTGTTACAGACGTATTGGCACAGCTGGGGTATGTGACAGAGCCGGTGGTGCAAAGGAGGGTAGTGACGACTGTCCAGGTGAAAGGAAACGAGCCGGTGATAGAGGAGGTTGTTCAGGAGGAGCTCTGGGAAGAGGAAGAGCCGGTGCCGCAGCACTTGACGAAGGTCCAGCGCAAAGTGCGTAACTTGGCACAGGGCGGCAGGGATCAGGAAAAGCGCAGGCGCCCCAGGCCTTGACCGCAACCCCTTTAAATGTGGCGGCTCCATCATCTAGTACGGGCCCCTCGCAAGGAGGGGCACCCTCCTACGGACAGTGGCCCTGGCCGGTGATCAATGCAGTCGTACCATGGGGTAGCCCGCTGCCAGTAGCCGGACCACAAACGAGTACACCGCCACCCATCTACCCTGCAGCCCAGGCCCAGCCTGTGGCCCCGCCGCCGTCACCCGCTCCCAGTTCACAGGGAAGCGTGGCTGGAGGTGGGAACTAGGGGCAGGGCAATCAAGGCAACGGAGGGAGGGGTGGAGGAAGGGGGCGAGGCAAGAATGGCGGCGGAAGAGGAAGGCAATGGAATGATCAAGGCCAGGGGTACCAAGGCCAGGGGTACCAAGGCCAGGGGTACCAAGGCCAAGGGAATCAAGGCCAGGGGTACCAAGGCCAAGGGTGTCAAGGCCAGGGGGATCAGGGAAGTCAGGGGTATGGAAGACCCCGTTTTGACTGGAGGACGACCATCTGCCAACATTGTGATCAGCAAGGCCACACTATAAGGTTCTGTAATATAAGACGGGAAGACGAGAGGAGCGGGCTGATTTCCTCCACTATGGATGGGAACATTTACGATCAGTTGGGGGAGGTCATTGACAGAAGGCTTTGAGGAGTGAGGGCGGAAGCCCAACGAAGGGCGGCAGCTGGGCCGCCACCCCCTGCCATGTTCAGGCTATGGCAGGAGAAGAAAGGACCGTCGGTGGGGATAGAGGAATTCAGGTTATGGCAGGAAAAGGAAGAACCACCGATTGGGGTAGAGGAAGTGACTCAAGGGCTGCGAGGAGGAAGTAAGAGGGAAGGGTCCATAATCATCGAGTCAGATGACGAGAATGAGGAAGAAAGAATGGAACCTCCGTCCGTCTTGTTGGGGAAAATGGAGGACCTACTGGATAAAATGGGGAGGTACCAACAGAAGTTGGTGGGCCTATGTGAGGAAATGAGGAAATAGAAGTCTAGCATCCCCAAGGTGTTCCTCTACGACTCTGGTCCGGAATCAGCGCCTGGGCGACCCGGAGTAAACGTGGTGGGATCGTGCCCACAATCGGGAATGATGGGGAGACCCCTCACTCCGCAGGCCCGGCTGGCGCAGGCAGCACGAACGAGAAGTCAAGCCAGAGCCAGCGCCAGCCAAGAACCTCCAAGGAGGGAGCAGGAGCCAGGAAAAAGAAAGGAGGCCGTGGAAGTGGAGGATGACGATGATGAAGAGAAAGAAGACGAGAGGCTGCGCCAGGAAGAGGATTAGAGTCCCGTCATGCTTGTTGAACATCACGGTCTCTATCCTACTTAGGAACGATCTCCCCAGGACGATTCAATGATCCACGTCCGACATTATAAAGAAGCATGCCCTGACCTTCACCTTTTCAACCTCGATGAGCACATTCGAGGCTGTCCCGCAAAACACGGCCTTACAGCTGGCTCCATGCAGAATACCGCAGTCAGAACGGTCTATATCCAGCCCGGATTTGATTGCGTCCGCTTCCCGAATAATATTCATTTCGGCCCCGGTGTCCACCATTGCCGCACACTTGGAGCCCTTTACCACCAAATCCACTGTGTGCATGATTTTGCCCACTCTGCCTCCTTGGGCAGGATCGTGCCCAGATGAACGTTGGGCACGAGGCGCCGTGACAACCTCCCTTTCAATTCATCGCGGAGCCGCGAGGCTGACGCCAGGATCTCCTTCAGGGTCATGAGATCATTATGCCCTTCTAGCAGTCTGTCGATCACCCGCTCTACATCAAACCCCTCTTCCAACTGAACCGCGTACGATCGAAGAATCGGAGGGCGAGCGCCGAAGGCTTCGGGCAGAGCCGGAAGGAGAAGAGGAGGTGAAGGCATTTTCTCTTAGCCTATCGGACGTCGAAAAGGTCATGGACTCGGTGGCCGCACATGAGATGGCGGATCCGGATGCCATCCAAGCCTTGAGGGAGAAAGTTCTGGAATGCCCCGACGCAGGAAGGTTGGAGCTGGTATATCGGTTTCCGGGCGGCGGGAGGAGCCCCGCATCAGCGCAGGCGCAATCTGTGAGTCGGCCTTTTTTAGGGAGCGGCTCAAGCAGGGTTCCCAAAGGCGGTACAAGACGGCAGATAAGAAGTGTCGCCCGGTTCTCATCCTCGTTACAAAAGATGAGGAAGCATACTACGAGAGGGAACGAGGGTTGATACGGCGAATGAGGGAGAGTGCTCTAGCAGGGCCATGTCGTATCAACGAAGGGAACGAGGGAAAGTTGATTATAGGGGAACCTGACTTCCTACTGCCTCAGGAGCGAACGTTGATGGTGGAGTTGATGAAAAGGAGGCATCACGCCTATGCGTTTAGCGACGAGGAGCGTGGCAGGCTGGATGTGAACAAGATACCTATGATCCACATCCATACCGTGCCACACGAACCTTGGAACATGAGAGGGGCGCGATATCCTAATCCTGACGAGGAAAAAAAGGTGGTGGACTACCTCGACGGCAAGATACGTACGCACGTCGCCGACTATTCGAGTGGACTGTATGCGTCCCCGTAGTTCTGCTTCATCAAGCCTAACGGGACGCTGCGGTGGGTGCAAGATTTGCAGAGGTTGAATGAGGTGACCGTGCGGGATGCTGATTGCCTAATGCAGACGCGCTGTCAGAATCCTGTGCTGGAAGGCCTATAATCTCGCTTATAGACCTTTACTCAGGATATGATCAGTTCTTAGTCAACCCGCCGGACAGGCTTGCGACGGCTATGCACACGCCTCGAGGGTTAATCCACATGAACGTCGCCCCACAAGGGTGGACCAATGCGGTAGCAATGGTCCAACGGGCCATGATTCGGGCTATGCAGTCAGTCAGGCCCCATATCACACAGCCATACATCGACGATTGGGCAGTGAAGGGGCCAGCGGTTAAAGAGAGCGACGAAGTCTCACCAGGGGTGAGGCGCTTTGTTTGGAAGCACATCCAGGACCCCGAAAAGGTCCTGAGCCTGCTCGAGGAGCATAATCTCACGGCAAGCGGGGCCAAATCCAGACACTGCATGAGGGAAGCGACTATTTTGGGGTTCGTATGCAGCGAGAAGGGCCGAAGGCCGGGTGTGAAGAAGACGGACAAAATTACTGAGTGGCCGGTTCCGTTCCACTCAATAACTGATGTCAGGAGCTTCCTTGGTACGTGTGGATTTTGGAGGGCCTTTGTCAAGAACTTTGCCGCTAAGACTGAACATCTGAGGAAGTTAGTTCGTCAGGACCAGGAATAGGTTTGGGGTGAAGAACAAGAAGAGGTGGTGGCTAAGATGAAGGAGGAATTTCGAGAAGGAGGGTTGGTGTTAGGAGCGCCAGATTATGATGCCACGGAAACACGACCCTTCATAGTCGAAACAGATGCGGGGCCAACTGTCTTAGGAGGAGTTCTGATTCAGGCAGACAATGAGGGAAAGGAGAGGTCCTTGAGATTTGAGAGTCGGACTCTCTGTACGACCGAGAGGAACTACTCTCAGTTCAAGAGGGAGACCCTTGTCGTCCTCCACTGTCTACGAATCTTCCGGAACTACATCTTCGGCAGGAGGTTTATTTTGAGAGTGGATCCGACCGCCCTGGCCTACTCTCTAAGGAATTATGTTCCATCGGATTTGACGGTTGTCAGATGGTTGACTTTCATCTGGATGTTCAATTTCGAATTGGAACGGAGAACCGGGCGGACGGGCTGAGTCGGATCAAGTGGGATAAACAGGAAGGGGAGGCAGTAGAGAATACGCCCCCAGTTGATGGATTTCTGGATCAGGAAGAAGATGTTCGTCTCCACATCAACAAGTGGTCGCCGCGAGTGCCCAGCTGTGTAGGTTATCCTATCTGGCAAGCGCCGAATGAGTATGAAAGGAGGGTCGAGCTAGTCCTTAAACCCTTCGAAGAATTCGAAGAAGAGGATCCCTGGGGTGGTAAGGATGTTCAGTGGATGATGGAGTTGGCGCTGGCCAGTTCGCATAGTCTGGTGGAGAACATGAGGACGATCGAGGAGGGACCAGGCCAGGTAGAACGACATGAGGACCTGATGGGAGGAATGTACCTCCTGGTCAACACGTTGTTGCAGGAAAGCCTCGACCAGTCAGGATCGTTGAACCCGACAGGGAATGTGGACGAAGTGCCCGAGAGCCAGGACGACGAGTTCGAGGAGGGGGAGGTTAAGGAGGTCTTTCGTGCAGAGGAGTATGATGGGATCTACCTAGAGCTGGGACTTCTTCTGTCCTGCGAAATGCGGCTAAGGGATGCAAGCGATAGGGCTCAGAGGATGCTGTAGCGCTACTTAGTGCGAGACGGCCACCTTTTCATGAGAAGAGAAGTGGGGAATCCCTCGAGAGTCGTCTGCGGTAGGAATCGTCAGATCAATGTCGTAGCAGCGCTTCACGATGGCATTGCAGGAGGGCATCTAAGGGTACAAGCCATGTATGCCAAGATAAGTGAGTTGTACTACTGGGATGGGATGATGGACATGGTCGGAAAGTTCTGCCGATCTTGCGTACCTTGCCAGGAGAGATCCCGTTTAAGGCAAGGAGAGCCACTGCATTCAAGGCTAGAGCGAGAGGTGGGGGTTGTAGTGCATCTCGATCTACTTTTTATGCCGCTTGGGGATCAGGGCTATAACTATATCTTTGATGCGCGCGATAACCTGTCTGGCTTCGTGGACGGGCGTGTTATTCGCACAAAGACCGGGTCAGTCCTGGTGAGCTGTATCGAGGAGTATTACCTGCGCTATCCTTTCGTCAGGGAATTCGTAATGGACAGGGGATCGGAGTTTACCTGCCAGGAGGTACAAGAACTATTATCAAGGTATGGTGTGGCAGCCAACTACACCACGGTCGCGCACTCCCAAGCAAATGATCCCGTGGAGAGAGGACATAGTACCATTACGAGCCTCCTGGCTAAGTGGACCGAAGGTAGGCCTAATCAATGGCCAAGGTACCTAAGGGCGGCGTTCTTTGTCGAGAACATTACAGTAAAAAGATCCACCAAGTACGCACCGGCAACGCTGTGGTATGGAAGGCACGCCACCTTCCCTATCGAGAGCTTTCTTAAGACATGGAGGCGCCAGGATCTGGAAGTTAGCCTGTCATTCAAAGAATTGCTCGATATTCGGGCGTGGCAGATAGGGGCGATAGAAGCAAGGATCCAGGAGGCGTCCGATCACATGGCGAGAAACCGTATGGATGATAAGGCTCGATGGGATCAGTCTGCGCGGGTGAGGAAAGTACCTTTGGCAGTTGGGGACGTCGTGCTCCTCTATGATTCATCTTTGGAGAAGCAGTGGTCCAGGAAACTCGATAAGAGGTGGTTAGGTCCCTACCGGATCGTACGGGTTGGAGACTTCGGAGCATACCAGATCGAAGAGCTAAATGGGAATGAGTGGAAGGATTGGGTATTTGGAACGCGACTGAAGAAATTTGTGGCGAGAGAAGAGGTAAGAGAGATGACCTGACTGCCTTTTAGAATAGAAGTAATAAGGTGTGTAGGTCAGGTATGATGCATGCTGTATGAGTGTGGTCTGGTTCGAGCTTGCTTTGATTATCACCTGTTTGCTTACCCCAATGTGTGTCTGTTGTCTCCTTCGCCTGTTGTGCAGGTCTGACTTTACGAAGACAACCATGCCAAGAGGAGGGAAGGGGACACGGCCGCCTTAGAGGCAATTGGGCGCATCAGGAGGATATGAGCGGCATGGGCCTCGCCATCGAGAGAGCACTCTAGAGTACGACGGTGGCGACATCGAGCTATTCCTAGACAGCTTTTGGGAGCATGCACGGCGTATGGGTTGGACTGTGACCCAGGGGATTGAGAGGCTGAGGGGAGTCGGCAGATTCGAGGAGCCCGTCGCACGGATCCGTAGAGAGGCGACAACGAGGTCAGAGGTGGAGTTGAGGATGCAGGAGCTGCGACCCTCGCCAGTGGGGCCTGATGGCAGGCCGATCCGCCAGGAGATTGGAAATGCGTCGGACTTCATCCCCGCGTTTGAGTGGTTCATGCAGGGGCAGGGTATACCGAGAGATGATTGGATGCAGACGTTACCACTCTGGACCAGGAAGGCGAAAAGACCACTGGCTAGGCAGGTTAGAAGCATGGCCCGGGACTGGGAGAGTTGCAGGGCACATCTGAGAGAGGCCTTTCGACGGTCTGAGCCCCCTCAGCCCAGAATTGAGAGGCGTCAGAGGAGTTAGAGGCAGAGGGACCTTGAGCCCAAGGAGGCGAGACCATCTCGAGGAGGACGGAAGGCCCTAGCCAGGAGAGAAGAGGAACTGGAGCCGGAGTCAGAGGCTGAGGAGCGAGGGGCATACCCTGAGTGTGGGTTGGGACCAGTGGAGTTTCATTGGTTTACGGAGGGTGGATTGAGAAGGTCGCCAGCACGCACGCAGGAGGAGCCGCCAGCATCTTAGGGGCCCTTGAGGGAGTTGGAGGCGCATTTGGATATATCTCGGTGGAGAGCGTCGCCTCGGGGTGAGGAGCATGGAGAGCAGGCAGAGGAGGTGCCACGAGAGGAGGTGTCACAGGAGGAGGTACCACGAGAGGAGGTGCCACAAGAGGAGGTGTCACGAGAGGAGGTGTCACGGGAGGAGGTCCAGGGTACTCAGCGAGAGAGAGGGCTGGGCGACGAGGGGAGACGTGCAGGGAAGGAAGTGATAGAGGTTGGAGAGGACACGCCCCCACAGACGCCAGCGGTGGGTTTGAGACTCGGGCAGGGAGCACTCGCCAGGTGGAGGAGAGGTTGCAGAGAGAGGAGGCCCCATTACCTTCATCAGAAAAGGCTCCTTTGCCAGAGGGGAGAGCAAACAGGAGGGAGAGGGCAGCTGTAAGGAGAGAAGCCTTGACCCTGATTGACAGGCACCTAGCAGCTCATGCCCTGGAGCACCCAGACCTGGAAGAGCCAGCACCTGTAGAGCCGCGCCAGGAGTCGTGCCAGCCCGAGAAGGAGATGGAGGAAGAGATCCCGAAGAGGGTCGACCTCCGCACGAGGGAAAGGGCGCCAACTGGAGAGACAACAGAGGAAAAGAGGGCGAGAAGAACCAGGAGGATAGACGAGATATGGCAAGAGAGGCAGAGGTTGGAGGCAATGGGGGAGCTTCCAGAGCAGCAGCAGGAGAGGCAAAGATCGGAGGCAGCAGGAGCACTCCCAGGTCAGCCACCCAGCGCGTCAGCTAGGACCCCGGAGATCCCTGAGATGTGGAGGGACTTCTGGGAGCAGAGAGGAGAGGAGCTTCCTTCGCCAGTCAGAGTCGGGTTTAGGGTAGCAAGAAAGGCGGAAGAAAGATTGGATCGAAAAATCAAGTTTCTGCCCAAGACAACTTTTGACCGGCACTTGTTATTAGAGGGCGATCTGGCAGGGAAGAAGATGAAGGAAGCAAGCCATGGAGTACGCCTGGAGGCTATGGAAATTGAAATCCAGGAACTCAGGGCATTGGTGGCCAGTCAGGTAGCTATCATTAAGAGCCTGAGGCAGCAAACCCAGGGAAAGGTGGAAAAGCCAGAGAGCAGCAGGCAGGGAGAGCAGAGGCAGCCAGGACATGGGTTACCAGGACAGCCATCTGCAGCAGAGCCTCGCCAGGAGCCACCTATGGGGAGAGTTATCCTGGAGCCAGAGGAGGCGAGAGCCCAGAGACAGGCAGAGAGAGAGGCGTTCGAGTTCAGAGCCCCTACCGAGCTCGCGACGCTGCCAGTAGCAGCGGCGGGCCCAGTCGTACCTTTGGCAGTTGAGAAGGGGCTACCACTATCTAGTAGTGAGCCGGCTCAGGGCTCAGCAGAGGGATCCATGGGCGTGCTCCTTAAGGCAGTCCATACCATGTAGGAGGAGGCGGGTTTGTTTTCACCCTAGCAGAGGATAGAGGAGCCTCTTAAGAGAGAGATGGGGATTGAGGCGGAGGGTGCCATCAAGGGCGGGCTCCAGAGGTTGGGCACGCCTGAATATGGGCCAGAGGAGATTGAGGAGCAGCCCATGGCAGTGCCAGGTGAGACACTCGAGAGGAGACCTCAGAGGTTGGACACGTCTGAGTACGTCCCAGCGACAGGGGATTTGAGGAGCAGATTGGGATCTTGGGCTACTGGATCTGGGTCTGGGGGATCGGTTCCTGGGATAGAGCAGGAGGAGGTTGTTAGTACCGCAGCTCCTCAATCAGAGCAGCAGGGGGTTGTCAATACTATGGTAGGATCTTCTTCATCGCTACCTCCTGAGCCCAAGATGAAGAAGTTCAAGAGGAAGGTTGATCAGCTATGCTTCTACTGCAAGAGGGGCGTGCATCTGGCTCTGGACTGTCTCGAGTTCCTTGAGGATAAGGCAGAAGGGAAGGTCTCAGAGGCAGGGGGTAAGATGTATGATAGACAGGGTAGGATAGTAGAGAAGTCCGCAGATGGACTGAGGGCTCAGTTATATAGGCAAAACCAGGAGGAGTTGAGGAGGTAGGGTCGATTTGTCTATGTAAGTGGGCGAGTATCTTGTGAGGCATCAGCTTAGGTTCTGTGTGATACCCTCTTAGACTTAGAGGACCTTTTGATGATTGCTACTGGTCTAGATCTGAACTCTGGTGTTCCTATTGAGCTGGGGTCTTGAGGATCAGGGTGATCTAGATGAGGCATGTATATATTTAGGTGGCCTACACACTGGCTTTGAGAGACAGATCTGACATATATTTTAGGGATAATTGTTAGCGTGAGTTTGGTGTGGCTTGAGTTGAGTGAGCTATGATTTAGAGACATTTTATGTATGAGACATTTTATTTTCCTGAGTGTATATTATGATAAGGGTTTTTTTTCAGGGACCATTCTTATATATGACGATCACTTGTCTCTCTCACATGTGTGGTTGTGCTCTGATGTATGGTGGGTTTGTGTGGACAATGTGTGAAAAACATCTTATTTTGCCATGGGTACTGTGAATATGATTGTAAGCAAAAGTTGTCTACCCCTCGGTATACTCGTGCGACCTGCCCCCGGGCAGCTGATACGGCAGAGTATAAGGGGAGGAAGCGCAACCTGTTTGTGAAAAGTTGTGAGGATTTTTGAAGAATTATGAGCCCAGGAGGCTCAAAACGCTTACCATGCTGATTATTGATTGCTTAAGTTGTGATGAGGACTCATAAGATGGTCTCTCAGTGATGTTTGTTTTATAATGAACCCCTTGGATTTTGGAGAAGGGGATGTTTTGTGACGTTGTGTGTTATAATGAGACCCCTCGTGATTTTTGGAAGAGGGGGATGTTTTGTTTTATGATGAGAGCACCTTGGATTTTTGAAAGAGGGGATGTTTTTGTTGTTGAAAGATTCACCTTCAAAGGTGAGTAAACTGATTTATGGTATGGTAAGTTATCTGATGAGTGATAAAGTCTAACGAAAAGGGGCCACTTTTGTTTGGAATGTTTGAGAAGGTCGCAATGAGTGCAGAGCGAGATGATGTATCAGGACGGGTGGTTGCTGGCTCTGATCAAGTCAGGGGTCACGGCCTGGTGGACCTAGCGGTGATTTTGTTGGTGAGCGTGCGAAGGATGCCATGCCTATTGTGGAAGGGTTGGTAAATGCCTTCGGACCCCTGCGTATCGCGCAGTGGGCCTGTGATTTTGTTTTGCGACGTTCCGTCTAACCACCTGTGCTAGTTCTGGGACATAATGAAGAAAGGCCAAGCTAACGGAAAAGAAGTTAGTACCTCTAGGGCGTAACCCCATTGGATGATTGCTAGCCGGCGCAACCTGGCTGCAGGACCGCAGGGTAAGAGTTTAAGGGGGGTTGCCCGCCCCAGTGAAATTACTCCACGGGATAGTGATGGTTGAGAATTTTTGGGGGAAATCCTGATTGAATGCTTATCAGGAGAAAACCTATCGTTGTGTAACCGTTAAATAACAATACGGTGGTCCGTGGTCCTGGTCCGATCAGCCAGGCTATGGTGGGCCAAGGTGGAGACCTAGCCTTTCTGTACTAAACTGCAGAAAGAGCTGAGCGGATATTAAGTATACGTATATGCTTATGAGTATTTGATTGCGAGAGATTTTTGAGAAGGAAGGCGAGAATGCCTTCAAAGATCCCGATTAAGGCTCGCTTCCCTGGTTTTTGTCAGGACTAGGGGCACCTAACGAGAAGCCGAAGGTTGTCTAGGACCGGGGAGAGAACGATTGGGAAGGTCTTTGAAACTTATACGGTCAGCGTCGTAATTTCTGGGCGGTGAGAGGCCCAGGTTAGAAACCTGACAGCATATAGTAGTGGAGGCATGTTTTGATGGAGGCCTCTACCCTTTGTTTGTCGACTAATCGGATTGGCTCCTTTCTCGTCAGCATTTGGAGTGTGGATGGATTTATAGCCTCCTGATTTGGCGAAGCGACGGGGACGTCGCTTTATATGGTCCGGTAAGCTGTCGGTGCGAATACCCTTACAAGGGTATCCGCCCTGGGTTTTTGCAAGTAACAGAAAATTGTTTGGTTTAAAGTTTAAGTATACTGCGCTAGGCGCGGCGATGTCTGTGATTTACGTTGACTGGATGGTTGAGTAGGATAAAGAGTGTGTGGGCGCGTGGATTTGAGGCGCGCGTGATCTTTTTAATTGTTGATGACTGAAGAGTCGGCGTGATCACCGACCAGGAATTTTATAGTCTGATTAAGCAGGGATTAAAAATATAATGTCTTGCTGGTTGTTGGGCTTGCCGGTGACCTATGCGTGCGGGCGGAGGAACGACGATGGCGACAGTGTGGCTGCGGTAGGTCTTGGCACGCGGACTGGCGCAAGTGGCGGCCGTGGTACAGATTTGGTAAGTCGGCGCAGACGCTGGGCAGCCGCGCGCACGGTTGTAGGCAGAGATGAGGCTCAGGCCAATTCCCCTAGCCCTGAGTGCAGCGCCGCACCGCCTGATATGGCACTCCGCGGACATTGGCCTCAAGCTTGGGCTTAGCCCTATAGGTTACGGCATGGGGTTGATGATACGGAGGTTCGGGGATCGAGGCGAGCGAGCATCAGCACAGCAAGCGGAGCGTCGCGGAAGGGACCGATGGGGTTGAAGGCCGTCAAGGCTATCCCCCTCGGTTTTTGTTCGGAGGCGCGGCGGCGGGCCCGATTCGCGGGGCCAGCAACCCCGCTGTTCCCCGACACTGTTGTTATTTTATTTTATTTCCCCTTTCTGTTTTGTTCATCGCGTCTCGTTCGGGAATGCAAGACTGCAGTGGGGCGGCAAGGGATGTGTGGAATTCGTGGGATCGCCTGGAGTGCAATTACAAACTGTTTTCGTGGCGGTG